ATGGGATTATCATCGAACTCTTGAGTTGGAAAAAAAGAAGCATAATAGTAATCTATACAATTTGCCAAGTAAGGAAGTTTATAACGAGGATCAAGAACAAATGCAATACCATATATATGCGGAATATGTGAATAATATTTTAAAAACTTTTGTTTCATGAAATCACAAAAATAACTAACGTAAGCGGCGTCGGAAAATTCACAAAAAGCGCCGGCGAGATTAACAGCTTCAACAAAAAATTCGTTTGCGGTAGGTTTATAAACATGACTAAAAGTTAGAGTTGCGTTATTAAAATATGCCAAAACATTAACAATTTTTTCACAAGTGTCGATGTCAGCCGGGTTTATAATATAGTTACAAGTTTGTCTTAAAAAAGCTGGAAAATGATCTTTATATCTAACAAGTACTTGAATTAAATTATAAGTACTATTCCAACGAATAGACAAATCTTTAGGAAAAGCACAATAATTCACACGTCTATCCTTCAAATATTGCCGCCATTGCATTTTTAGTGGAGTGTTAGCCCAAATCAATTTAATTCCCCCATTCACTACCTCCAAAGCATTTCCTAATGCCGCTAAGCCATCTTGTACACACAAATTTAGAATATGACATGCACAACGTTGATGAAAAAATCTACCCATCAATGTAGAAGCACCACACAATTCACGTAATCTAGGTATAGCAGCAGTATTATTACTAGCATTATCAAAACATACAGCAAACACCTTATCAATCAAATTATACTCAATTAAAATACGTTCAATGTGAATATAAATATTATCAGCAGTGTGACGATCATTGAATTCACGAAAAGCAAGAACACGTTTATGCATATTCCAATCATCATCAATATAATGTGCAGTTAGACCCAAATAATATAAATGATGATAAGTATCCTCCCATATATCGCTACAAATACTAACACGTCCATCAAAGTTTGCGAAAAATATTTGTAATTTTTCTTTTTCCAAGTTATATTGCCTTATAACTTCTTTTTTAATCGTTTTGCGACTATAATTTCTAAATTGAGGATTTAAAGTACCTTGAGCATAATCTCTTAAAGCAAGACTTTCGGGAAAAATAAAGGGTAAATTTTCTTCAACAATTAAATGAGACATACCAGTCAAATATTTTTTATCATCATAGGAAAAATTACCAAAGGGTTGAGAATTTTCAAACCTTGATATTTGTGTTTGCTTCCCCTTTCCTTTGTCTATTTTCGCATACTCCACAACGTGGGTGGACTGAAGATGCCTTTTGAGACTCCCGTATCCGCCAGAAATTCCCAAGCTAAACTCTTTCTTGCAATGATTGCAACTTGCGTACCATTTTTCGGTTTTTTCGTCTTTCCTTTTTGTATAATTGTTTTCAATAATAGCAGATTTAGATTTCTTACCAATTTTGGTTGTAGTCGTTGAAGGGCCCTCATCCTCTTGCTCATCATCCGGAGTCCCGTCGCCCCCCGTGTCCTCCTCCCCATCGTCATCCTCGAGCTCCTCTTCATCGATGGTTGTCGGGAATTGTTGTTCTTGTGCAAAACGTGGATCATTTTGGGACAATAGGTGTTGTAGTTCCTCGTCGGACATCATCATACCATCTCGCCGTTGGTAATCCGTTTCAAAATCATCTCGACTTTGAAAAGAAGACTCGGCCCGCGCTTTACCTTTGCCTTTGCGTGAAGTAGATCGAGTCGATGCAATCTCCCTCTTGCGGTTGCGTTGGAGATTACCCACATCTACAGAATGTCTACCACGCTCCATCTTTAAAATTGAACAAATATTAGCAATTAACTAATATGAGAAATGTAAAAATTAACTAGTTTTGTTATTTTAATGAGATATGTAGCAATTAACTAATATGAGAAATGTAAAAATTAACTAGTTTTTTTTACTTTAATGAGATATGTAGCAATTAACTAATATGAGAAATGTAAAATTGTAGCAATTAACTAATTAACTAATATGAGAAATGTAAAAATTAACTAGTTTTTTTTACGTTAATGAGATATGTAGCAATTAACTAATATGAGAAATGTAAAATTGTAGCAATTAACTAATTAACTAATACGAGAAATGTAAAAATGTAGCAATTAACTAATTAACTAATATGAGAAATGCACAAATGTAGCAATTAACTAATATGAGAAATGTAAAAATGTAGCAATTAACTAATTAACTAATATGAGAAATGTAAAAATGTAGCAATTAACTAATTAACTAATATGAGAAATGTAAAAATGTAGCAATTAACTAATTAACTAATATGAGAAATGTACAAATGTAGCAATTAACTAATATGAGAAATGTAAAAATGTAGCAATTAACTAATTAACTAATATGAGAAATGTAACAATTAAGTAGTTTAACTAATATTAATATGACAAATGAAACAATTAAATTTAACTACTTTAACTAATATTAATATGACAAATGAAACAATTAAGTAATTAAATAGATAAACGAGAAGTGTATATATAAATCAAATGTATAACTATATATAGTATATATAAATATATAATGTGTAAATATATTATAAGTAATATATAATATAATGTATAACTATATATAGTATATATAAATATATAATGTGTAAATATATTATAAGTAATATATAATATAATGTATAACAGTATATAGTATATAGTATAATGCGTAAAGAATTATAATATGAATGTGTATAAGTATATATTTATAAGTAGATAATTAATATTATAATATATAAGTAGATATAATAATTATATAAATTATATATATGTAGAAAGAATTTGGAGAAGATGAAGAATGAAGATGATTGAATATGAGAGATTAAGAGAATAGAGAATTTAGATTTTAGAGAGTAGGAAGAGTTGTAGAAGAAGAGGTGTAAAAAATGTATAGAAAATAGGAGTATAAATAGGTTTTTTTTGTATACCCCACCCCCACCCCACCCCACCCCCCTAACCCCCCAGACCCCCCCTCCTATGCTCCCAACGGCTATAGAGCCGTTTGGGAGGTCTCCCAACGGCTAGTAGAGCCTTCAATTTTTTTTTTTTTTTTGTGACCGTTGAGGCCCGGACCGGGCCCGACCCGGCCGGGCCGGTTCACCAAATTATAAGCCCGGGCCCGAACCGCTACATGACCGGGCCGGGTGGCCCGAACCGTGACCTAACCGACAAACCGGGCCGGTCCGGGCCCGCACAGTAGCGGGCCGGTCCGGTTCCGGGCCGGTTGGCCCGGCCCGAGTCCACCACTAATTCCACTATGATTTTGACACAATAAGTGGAGGACTAAAAATGTCACTATCATAACATTTGAAGGACATAAAGTGTCATTTTTATGAAAATTGAAGGACTAAATGTGGAAATTTTCAAAGATGGGTACCAAAGGTATCTCTTACAATAGTCGAAGGATTAAAAGTGAAAAAATTCAAAGTTGAGTATCAGAAGTGTCAGTGACATAATAGTCGGAGGATTAAAATTGGCAAAAGCTCTAATTTCAATTTTCAAGCTAAGATATTGAATTGTATTTCAGAATGCTTTTGCTCATATACCATTCTCACAAATGCTTTTTTGCCATACTTAACAATTTCTTTAACAACCCTCCAAAACCTAAATCGAACTCTATTTTTAACAACTCTTGGCCCTACTAATTATATTTTCTTATATCCTCCATCCCCTGTAAAGCATTCACCCCTACCCTTGTGTCGATATTTAACTAATTTACACACTACAGTTTGTATATTTTAAACAATTTTAATGAATTTAACATGAAAGATGAATAGAATGCTTTATTGAAAACTATTATTTTTAACTAGAATTGAGGGTATGTTATCATGACTCATGAGTTAACTATCTATAACGAATTCATAGTTAACTAGTTTAACTATAACGAATATAGTTGTAAGAATAGAATGCTTGTATTAGGGTAACTATTTAACCTATTCTAAAACTATGATATTATATCAGGTTAACTAAGAACAGAATGCTTGTATTATACGAGTAGTTAACTAGTTTAATAGTTTTAACTAATTTCAATCCTTCATCCCCCGTAAAGCATTCACCCCCTCCCCTTGTATCGATATTTAACTAATTTACACAATTTGTATATTTTAAACAATTTTAATGAATTGTTAAAATTCGTGTTAAATTGAGTCATGATAACATATAGTTTAACACTAACGAAGGATCGTCATAGTTTAGCATTCTATACTTAAATACTATATATCATAGTTTAAATAGCTAAATAGTTTCAACATGAGCTAATTATAACGAATTCATAGCTATGATATCATAGTTTAAATATATTAAGTTAAAAATATAGTGTAACAAATTCAAGCTATACGAAAGGGTCGAGAATTGAGAGTTTAACTAGAAAAGTATTATTTTTGCTTTGAAAAATGATAAAATTTGGAGAATACGCTCACAAAACACCCTCAACTCACTTTGTGTTGATGAAGCGGGTAGAATTCTTTGTCTCACAAAAGTTAAATACGGAGTATAAATAAGCAACATATGAAATTCTGGGTACTCTTATCGCATTGGTAGTATAGAATAAGTATTGAGTCATTACCTCCGTACAAGCAGGGCTGAGCTCACTACAAAAAAGGGTGTGATACCCACTAACTTTCCAACGGATTTTGGTGAAAAAGTCGTGGGAAATGATATTTTCAACAAAGTACCAACAGAAATTGGCCGTGGGAATACAATGGTTGGAAAAATTTCCAACCACCATTTCCAACGGATTTTAAAACGTGCTAGCGGAATTCCAACGGATGTATCTGTAGGAAATTTCCAACGGATAAGTTCGTGGGTGTGAAAGACAATATAGAATATTCTTTAGAATATGTTTTAGAATATTCTTCTATCTTTAGAATATGCTTTAGAATATTTTAGGAATATACTCTAGGATATTATTATTGTATAGAATCTTAAAGGAATATTCTATCTTTGTAATGTATATATATATATATATATATATATATATATATATATATATGGGCTTGACCCTCCCATGAAAGACACACAAAAATCATTCTTCTCATTACTATTCTATCTTTAATTCTTACAACATGGTATCAGAGCAATCTGTTCCAGTTTAGCTTAGCAGTATTTTTCAGAATCTCATTTCATGCCTCAGCCAGAACCTCAGTCCAAAATCCACAGTTTCACAGAGCATCACCTCCATCCTAAGCAGTCACGCCTTTCACCGCCGACCTTACACTCGAAATCCGCAGGCCACACACGCCGTCAGAGGACCTCACAGACCTAATCGCAGACCCAATCGCCGGAGAATCCATCGGAACTATTTTCAATTGATGACCCGCCAAAGGAGGAGATTTATAGAGCTGCTAATGATGTCTGGCTTCGTGATGATTCTAGATTATTTATCCAGATTCAGAACTCCATGGAGAATGACGTCATGGGGTATGTTAGTCATAATAGTGTAGAATTAATTAAGCATTAATTATTAGGTAGTTTCCTAATTGTACTCAGATACTTATTTCTTATATATACACTGTCAGGGCTACCAGTCTAGGTAAGCCTGTTATTATTTCTCACATGGTATCAAGAGCTAGGGTTAATTAATTTTTTTTCTCTCTTTTCCATCTTCCGCCATGAGCACGGCCGCCGCCAGCACCAATACGGTTGCGCCGCCAGTCTCATCTTCACAGACCGCCGTTTCCATGCCTCCGTCAACAGTGATGTCGACGGCACCGGCAAGTCTGCTTTTTGGTTCCTCCTCCGTGATGCAGCAGTCTCTCTCCAGGCCTTTTCCGATGAGCAGCGCACCGGACATGTCCGCCTGGGTTCCGCCAACGTTCGACTGGTCACCGCCGACTCCTTCCCGGCAATCAACTGTTTCGTTCTCCGATCCGCAGGTCATGGCAGACTCCTCCAGGGCACCGTTCGGTGGTGCCACCATGGCTGGCCAACAAGGTTTGGCTCCTCCCGCATCTCTCCGGGCGATTGGACGTCCTCCTCCCTCCATGGCAGTCGGTTCTCTTGAGTCTATTGCTCAATCTATGGGATTTTCAGCCCCCAACATCACCAATATTGTCACTACCAAGCTTGATGTTGTCGAAGATTACCTTCCATGGCGCACACAATTCGAGTCCTTTCTGGTATCTCATGGATTAATGGGCATTCTTGATGGTACAATTTCTCCTCCTCCTTCTACTACTTTTGATAATCTTCGGAGAGAAATTGCTAACAATGAGTTTTATTACTGGCTAAAGTTAGACCAAACAGTCCGTTCATGGCTGTTTGCTACTTTGTCACGTGATATACTCGTTGAAGTTCATACCCTCAAAACTTCATCTATTATATGGGACCGTCTGGAGTCACGTTTTATGGCAGCCAGTTTGGCTCGTTCCATGGAGTTAAAACGATTATTTACTAATATTAAAAAGAAAGAGAACCAATCTATGGAACAATATATGCGTGAAATACAGAAAATTGCTGATGCTCTTGCTACTATCAATTCCCCGGTTTCTCTGAAAGACCTTATAGAACAGACTTTGCTTGGCCTGGGTTCTGAATATGAGTCCATCATTACAACCTTATCCTCGTTCCCCGAAGGTCTGACTTTTGATAAACTACGCGAGTGACTGGTCCAACAGGAGCAATGAATTCTCTATCTTAGATCCCAAGAAGCTGCCGCCAGCCCCACTGCATTTGCTGCTCACCCGGCAGCACCTACTGCTCCAGGGCCCGACGCCCGAGGCGGCTTCCAGAATCACCGCGGCAGAGGGCGACGCGGACAGAGAGGGCGGGGTTCCCGTGGTCGTGGTCGCGGGTACGGCCAGTATCAGCAGGGGTTTCCAGCTCAGCCTCCTGCCTATTATCACTCACGGCCAGGACCAGCGCAAGGGGGATATTTTCAGCAGCCATATTATCAGCCTTCTCCACAGCAGCCTTCACATCCGGGCAGGGCAGGTACAATATTATGTAATACAGTTTATTCATCGTTTAATACGCATCCCTATTCTGCTTGTGTTACTAATTATGGATCTGCAGGCTCCCCGTTAGTTGATGGCCAATTTGGTTCTATTCCCCCGCCAATTGTCTGTCAAATCTGTTATTCTCCAGGTCACTCTGCTGTTTCGTGTCCCTCTCGTTTCTCCCAGCCCTCAGCTCCAGCACTGGCTGCGCTTATGAGTGATTCACATGACGTTGTCTGATTTCCAGACTCTGGTGCCTCTGCCCATATGACTCCTCAGGAAGGTACACTAGTAAATAAATCTACTTATTCTGGACCATTAAATGTTACTGTTGCAAATGGTACCACCCTTCCCATTAAAAATGTTGGTGATATTTTTATTAATTCCGCATCAAAGCCTTTTCATCTAAGATCTGTTTATCATGTGCCGCAGATAAAATATAATTTACTATCTATACAAAAATTGTGTTCTGATAATAATTGCATGGTGATTTTTGACAAAAATTCTGTTTTTCTAAAGGACAAAACAACGGGGGCAATTCTTCTACAGGCTTCCAGTAGCGGCAGTCTCTGTCCCATTCGTGTTCCTTCATCTTCTGTTCTGGCACTTGCTTCTAATGCGGCACCTGGACCTTTATGGCACCGCCGGTTGGGGCATTGTGGCACTCGTGTTTTAGATAGTCTTAGAAAGTCTGGTCAGCTTTGTAGTCTTTCATCTTTTAATCATGATTGTACCTCGTGTCGATTGGGTAAATCTCACAGATTACCTTTTCAAGATGTTTTTCATTGTTCAAAAACACCATTATTTTTAATTCATTCAGACGTCTGGCAATCTCATGTGTTGTCTCATGATGGTTTTAAATATTATGTCTCGTTTATTGATGATTACTCTCGTTTTACATGGATATATCCTATGCGCCGTAAAAGTGAAGTTTTTACTCATTTTCAATCTTTTAAGAGGCTGGTGGAAAATTTACTAGACCACAAAATTAAAATTTTTCAAAGTGATGGAGGGGGTGAGTTTGATAATTTCAGTATGCGATTTTTTTTTATAACCACGACATTCTCTTTCGAAAATCATGTCCTGACACGCCACAACAAAATGGTTTAGCTGAACGCAAACATCGCCATCTCATTGAACTTGCCCGCACCATGCTTATTGATGCTGGTTTACCAGCTACATTTTGGGTTGAGGCTGTTTTGACAGCTACTTATATTATTAATCGACTACCCTCCACCAAATTTACTGGTTTTTCTCCGTATCAAAAATTATTCCACCGGTCTCCTGATTTCTCTTTTATGCGTGTGTTTGGATGTGCTTGTTACCCCAATTTTACGGCAACATCTGCCAACAAACTCTCTCCTAGGTCTATACAATGTGTGTTTTTGGGATATGCGTCTGAGTATAAGGGGTACAGGTGTCTTGATCCTAAAACGGGACGAATCTATGTCAGTCGTCATGTAAAATTTCACGAAAATATTTTTCCTTACAATAAATTAGTGATCACCACTTCTTCTGAGTCCGCACCTGTTCCGTCCAGCTCTATGTCCATCTCTATGTCTTCTCCGGTGTTTGCACCACCTACTGATCAGCCGCTACTATCTCTGTCCCGGCCAAATTTTTCAGACACGTCAAACAGCCCACAGCAGCCCGGTACCTCCTCGGCTCCGCAGTATGCCTCCTCGGAACCTAGCTCACCTACCTCATCGGCAGGGGGTGCAGTGTCCACTCCGGGGTCGCCATCCAGCACGGTGTCAACGACATCTCCGGGTTCTGCGCGTGAGGTTACCACAGGCAAAACCTTGAGTGTTATTAATGTTCATCCCATGCAAACTCGATCAAAATCGGGAATTTTTAAACCCAAAACAATTTTTAATTTAAATACTGGGGTTTTAATTCCTGATCCTACCTGTTTTTCTGGTGCAAATAAAGATCTAAAATGGAGGGCTGCTATGGCTGAGGAATTTAATGCACTTATTGCTAATAATACATGGGAATTAGTACCATTTACTTCTGGTAAAAATGTGGTCGGGTCTAAATGGATATATAAAACTAAGTATCGATCTGATGGCTCTATTGAACGGCATAAAGCACGTCTGGTTGCTCAAGGTTTTAAACAGCAAGCTGGGGTTTATTTTTCTGAAACTTTTAGTCCTGTTGTTAAACCCACCACCGTTCCCATTGTTCTCACCTTAGCCGTATCTTATAATTGGCCCATTCGTCAACTTGATGTTAAAAATGCTTTTCTTCATGGTCATCTCACAGAGGAGGTATACATGCGTCAACCACCGGGATTCATTCATCCACATTTTCCTAATCACATTTGTCGCTTGCGCAAGACCATTTATGGTCTTAAGCAAGCTCCCCGGGCCTAGTTTTATCGTTTCAGTAGCTTCCTTTTAACAAATGGTTTTCTTTGCAGTCGTGCTGATAATTCTCTGTTTATTTTTCGTCATAACACTAGCATCATTTATTTACTTTTATATGTGGATGGCATTATAGTTACTGGCAATTCCTCCTCACTCATTCAGAAATTTATCTCTCTTTTGGGAAATTATTTTGCAATGAAGGATCTTGGTGATCTTCATTTTTTCTTGGGGGTTCAGGCTGTGCGTACTTCATCAGGTTTATTCTTATCTCAAGCCAAATATGTGTCTGATCTTCTAGCCAGATTTCATCTTCATACACTGAAACCCGTTCGCACACCGCTACCAAATAGAACTAAATTGTCTATCACTGATGGTGAGTTACTTTCTGATTCTACCGAGTACCGTAGCATGGTAGGTGCATTGCAGTATTTGACTATGACTAGACCTGATATTACATATGATGTTCACTTGGTATCCCAATTTAGGCATGCTCCTCATACTTCACATATGTTGGCTGTCAAGAGAATTTTCAGGTACCTTCAGGGCACTATCACGCATGGACTTCAACTTCAGCCTTCCGCATGACCCACCTCTGTTGTTGCATACTCTGATGCTGATTGGGCTGGTTGTCCTGATAGCAGTCGATCTACCTCAGGTTATGCTATTTTTCTGGGTCCTAATTTGATTTCATGGCGTTCCAAGAAGCAACCCACTGTCTCCAGATCTTCTACAGAAGCTGAGTATAGAGCTATTGCCTACACAGTGCAAGATACATTACACATTCGGTCCATACTTTTCGAACTTGGGTTTCCTATACATCGTCCGGTTCGGCTTCTATGTGATAATATTTCTGCATCTTATTTATCTGCTAATCCCATTCAGCATGCTCGCAGCAAGCACATTGACATTGACTATCATTTTGTTCGCGAACGTGTGGCTCATGGTGATCTCCTGGTGCAGTATGTTCCTACGAAGTTTCAGTTGGCTGATATTTTTACAAAAAGCTTGGCTCCTCAGCAGTTTTTATTTCTTCAAGACAATCTACGCGTAGTTCCTCCTGCATAGCTTGAGGGGGTGTAATAGTGTAGAATTAATTAAGCATTAATTATTAGGTAGTTTCCTAATTGTACTCAGATACTTATTTCTTATATATACACTGTCAGGGCTACCAGTCTAGGTAAGCCTGTTATTATTTCTCACAAGTCATTGTGATACTGTGAAAGAACTCTTTGATTATTTGGAATTTATGTATTCTGGCAAAGGTAATCTTAACCACATCTATGAGGTGTGCAAAGCCTTTTACAGGGCAGAAATGAAAGATAAGCCTCTCACAGCTTATTTTATGGATTTCAAGAAAACGTATGAAGAACTTAATACCTTAATGCCATTTAGTCCTGATATCAAAGTGCAGCAGAAACAATGCGAACAAATGGCAGTCATGAGCTTTTTGGCCGGTCTTACGTCTGATTTTGAAACAACCAAATCACATATCCTATCTAGTGATGTGGTCTCTTCTCTTCAAGATGCTTTCAGTAGAGTGCTTCGCACTGACACTTCATCCACATCATCGGCACCTCAGCCAAGCAATGCTTTTGTAGGGCAAGTCCCAACATTCCCCAATGGAGGTGAGAAGTGGCCACGCACAGGACCGATTGGCAAAGGAGTAGTATGCAACTACTGTAAGAAACTCGGGCACTTGATCAAAGATTGTCGAAAGCTAAAGTTCAAAAATCAAGGAAATCAAGTCGATCACATTGCTTCCGCTACACAGCCGTCTAATGGATCCATCATTATGTCTTCGGAGGAATATGCCAAATTCCTAGGTTACCAGAAGGCTCTAAAGCATGATCTACTCATATCTCAGTTGTAGCTAATTCAGGTAATCTAAACACATGTCTTGTATCTTCATCCTCAAAATGGGTTATCGATTCAGGAGCAACAGATCATATGACAGGTAATCCTAGTCTTTTTTCCTCATTCCACACACCTCTTCATACTTCTACTGTGACTTTGGCTGACGGATCTACGTCACCCGTTCTTGGTACGGGTACAATTGTCCCAACATCTACCTTACCTTTGTCACCCGTCCTAAGTCTTCCAAATTTTGCTTTCAATTTGATTTCGATCAGCAAAATCACACGTAAACTTAATTGTTCTGTAACCTTTTTCCTAGATATTGTGTATTTCAGGATCTGTTGACGAATCAGGTTATTGGTAAAGGATATGAGTCGACCGGTCTCTATCTCTTGGATACATCCTTACCCAAATCAATCTCTTGTCTTGGCATTGGAACTGTGTTAGAGGCTCACTATCGACTAGGTCACCCTTCTCTTCCGTTGTTAAAGAAGCGTTATCCTCAATTCAATAAGGTGTCATCTTTACAGTGTGATTCGTGTCAATTTGCAAAACATCATCGAAGTAGTCTAAGTCCTCAAGTCAATAAACGAGCACATGCTCCTTTTGAACTGGTTCATTCTGACGTTTGGGGTGCTTGCCCTATTGTGTCCAAATCTGGTTTTAAATATTTTGTTACCTTTGTTGATGATTATTCTCGTATGACTTGGATTTATTTCATGAAACGTCGTTCCGAGTTATTTTCTCATTTTTGTGCCTTTTGTGCTGAAATCAAAACTCAATTTAATGTACATGTTCGTATTTTAAGGGGAGACAATGCTCAAGAATATTTGTCTGCCTCATTTAAGTTTTATATGGCTCAACATGGCATAATTCATCAAACTTCATGTGTAGACACACCTCCCCAAAATGGAGTTGCTGAACGAAAGAACAGACATCTATTAGAAACTGCGCGGGCTCTTCTATTCCAAATGAATGTGCCAAAACATTTTTGGGCGGATGTTGTGTCTACCGCATGTTTTTTGATCAATCGAATGACATCTACTGTTTTAGATGGTAAAACTCCATATCAGTGACTATTTCCAAATAATGAAAATTTTCCTATTCCTCCTAAAGTTTTTGGTTGCACTTGTTTTGTACGAGATGTTAATCTCCATTTCACAAAGTTAGATCCCAAGTCATTAAAGTGCATTTTCTTAGGCTACTCTCGAGTTCAAAAGGGGTACAGATGTTTTTCTCCAAGTACAGGTCGGTATATTGTTTCAATTGATGTCTCCTTTTATGAAAATACACCATTTTCATCAACAGACACAAATATCTGTAGGGAGAATGATGATATACTCATTTACACAGTCACTATACCCGTATCCAATACTTCAGCAGTTCTTCCCCATGTTACTTTTCTTGAGCCTAGGCCTCCGATACACTTGGTATACACCCGTCGACACAAAGTGCAAGATCACCCTCCACCTGTGGTTACTTCTCCTGATACTGATCCGATCTCATATCCTGAATCGACACCTGCATCTTCAGATCCTGTCTCTACATCAGATCTTGATCTCCCCATCGCACTACGTAAAGGTACACGGTCTTGTACTCATCCTATTTCTTCATGTGTGTCGTATAATCAGTTATCATCTGTCTCATGTT